AAAGGGCAGCCAGTTGGAACTACGCCACATGACACGAGCTGAAGATATGTGGCTACGACGGGCGCAACGAGAGTCCTTCGGCGACGAAATACGACTGCTTCAACAAGGAAAGAAGATACCACAGTCAAGCCGCCTATACAAGTTAGACCCCGAGCTGATGAACGGAGTACTGCGCGCACGAGGAAGAATAAACGCCGCGACAGTACCAGAAGAAATGAAGAAGCCGATCATATTGGACGGAAAGCACCCGTTCACACGGAAGATCATCGTGAGAGAACACGAAGCGGCGGGTCACGCAAACAGAGAGCGTGTCATCAACGAATTACGACAACGCTACTGGATATTGCGCCTACGTCCGTCGGTTCGCACCGCCACCCGCGCATGCGTGATGTGCAGAGTTAGAAGATCGAAGCCAACAACGCCATCTACAGGGGACTTACCGCGCGAACGACTCAGCCCGCATCTCAGGCCCTTCACGTGCTGTGGCCTCGATTACTACGGGCCAATGACCGTCACCGTAGGACGACGCCACGAGAAGCGCTGGGGCGCATTGTTTACTTGCCTAACCACCCGAGCGATACATCTAGAAGTTGTGGCAAGCCTCAGCACAGACTCGGCGATAATGGCGATAAGAAGAATGGCAGCGCGGCGTGGATGGCCGAAAACTATAATGAGCGATAACGCAACGAACTTCAAAGGCGCCGACAAGGAACTACAAGCGGCCATACGAGAATGGGCCCCCAGACTACAAGATTACCTGCTGCAACGGCGCGTCGAATGGAAGTTCATCCCCCCTGGCGCACCCAACCAGGGGGGAGCATGGGAGCGACTAGTGCGGTCCGTCAAGACAGCTCTAGCCACAACGCTGCACGAGAGGGCACCGAAAGAAGAGGTGCTCCATACGCTGATGACCGAAGCCGAACACGCGGTGAACTCACGACCGTTGACCCACGTATCGGTCAGCCCGGCCGACGCCGAAGCCCTCACACCGAATCACTTCCTCCTAGGAACATCATCAGGTCTACCACTCACCGGCCCCTGTCGACCCTGCGACAGGCGCCAATGGCGGGCCACCCAAGCGCTCGCCGACAGTTTCTGGCAGCGCTGGATGAAGGAATATCTTCCGACGCTGGTACCGAGGGGCGAAACAAGAAAAGAAGCCGCACTTCGAGTAGGCGATCTCGTCATCATCGCCGACCCGAACTCACCGCGCAACATCTGGCCCCGGGGAGTAATCGAACGCATCTTCCCCGGGCCCGACGGCGAGATCCGAAGCGCCGACGTACGCACCAGAGGTGGGCTGTTTCGGCGACCAACGAGGAAGCTCATCGTGCTGACCACCGAGACACTGGACACATTATCCGCACCTCCCCCGGACCAGCGGGGAGGGACGCGCTGCGATCCTGAGCCTGGCGAGCCGTCCGATCCGGCGAAAGGGGCTCCGAGCATCTCTTCGAGCGTCTCTTCGCCGGGGGGAGAACTGTTACAGACGGCGGACATGAAGACCCTTCCCCGCAACCTCACCCCCGCAACGAGTGGAGGGGGCACACCACGGGCAGCAGCGACGGGAGCACCCCCCCGCGACCTCCCCGCCGCATAATGGAAGGGGCACCGACATAACATGAATCTATTAGGTCAATTAACGCGTTAGGATAGTAGCTAAGTGCGAACGAACAAATCCCACTTAAGTAAACCCGATTTGTATGAAAGCATGCCTACGAACGTTTTCGTACTTTGTACTGCAAATAAGAAGAAAGAATAAACGCCTTCAAATCTCCAAACTGTTGTTTCCATCCCCAACAATCATAATAATAAAAATCAATCAGAATCAGAAATTATAATTGAATTATTAACTAAATACAGTTCAATCACCTTCATTGTTAGAATATTAGCGCGAGTGCTGCGTTTCATTGTTGGAATACGACACCGGTGCAAAGTTTCATCAACAAATACCTTATTACTAACGGAAATAAATAACTCTTATAATATAATTATCAAAACTGTACAATCTATAGAATTTATTAAAGATTTATCATATATCAGAGAAAAGGGACATGTTCATAAAAATAGTAGATTAGCGAGCCTGAGTCCTTTTATAGATGAAGATGGAATATTGAGAGTCGGCGGCCGCCTAAGTCATTCAGATATCAGCTGGTCAGCAAGGCACCCTATCATATTGGACAGCCGCAGTAGACTCACTCAGCTTATAATAGAACAAGCGCATATCACAACATTACACGGTGGGGCTCGGCTTGTACTTACTTACGTCCGGAATAAATATTGGATAATATGCGGAATGTCGACAGTTAAACGGGAAATAAGGAGGTGTGTCAAATGCCGTCGGTTCAGCCACAATAAATATCAACCTATCATGGCAGACTTACCGCAGCCAAGAGTGGTTCCATCACGACCCTTTACTCACTGCGGGGTCGATTTCACTGGGCACGTTGATCTCAAAATCAATAAAGGTCGAGGTGTTCGCACAACAAAGGGGTATATATCAATCTTCATCTGTCTATCAACTAAGGCTGTCCACCTCGAGCTGGTTTCCGACCTGAGTACAGCATCCTTCCTCGCTGCATTCCGTCGATTTTGCGCACGACGTGGAGTCCCGGGTCACGTCTACAGCGATAACGGGACAAATTTCGTAGGCGCTAACAAACTTTTGAAAAGGGAATATCAAGAAATAGTATCAAATATCAACACTGAATTCTTTAACAATATATCACAAATGAATATAGAGTGGCACTTTAACGCACCGTCCTATCCCCATGCAGGTGGCTTATGGGAAGCCGCTGTTAAGAGTATGAAGTTTCATATTAAACGAGTCGTAGGTGAACAAAAGTTGACTTACGAGGAGTACATCACCGTGTTACATCAAGTTGAAGCCTGCTTAAACTCGAGGCCGCTCTGCGTTCCAACTGAAAACCCTGAAGATCCTATATTGACCCCGGGACACTTTTTAATTGGTGGACCACTACTTACAAAACCTTAAACAGAGCCCGAATCAATGTGTTTAACGAAGAGATGGCAGCTCGTTCAGGCTATCAACAAACAGATTTGGAAATGCTGGTCCACCGACTATCTACATCAACTACAATTAAGGAGTAAATGGAAAACGGCGACTAAGAATATTGCAATAGATGATATAGTTTTAGTAAAGGAAGAAAACATGCCGCCTGGAAAGTGGGCAATGGGCAGAGTACAGGAATTACATCCTGGAAAAGATGGGCAAGTCCGGGTTGTAACACTGAAAACAAAGCATAATATCATGAAAAGGCCTGTCATCAAATTAGTACCTTTAGTATCACAAGAAAAAAAGGAGGAACCAGTATCATCGTCTCCTATGGAAAGCGACCACCCTGGTCCTAAGCCTCGCCGGGCCAGGACCACTAGACGTGGTAATATCAAAAACTTTATGTTAAGTTTATTTATGTTTTTATCATTTTTCATATCACCTAGTCTACAACAAGAGCAAAAGCATTTTAAAATAACGCCTATAAATAATCAACAATCAATTTGTGATATTAATTTAATTGATGGCGGCACCGATTTATCACCTTGTAAGACGCAGGTATCAACTTGCAAAGAGAGTTGGGTTAAGTTACACGCCGATAACGAATGGTTATTTTCATGTTGCGAACAATGCAGCGTCCGCATAATTTGTCCAGCTGGTATTAAGTCACAGGCTATGACAGGCAGCGGAGTCATTCACCTCGGTCCCATGTGCACATTAAAGGGCAGTGATTTTGTACTACACTCGCATAATTATTACTTTAATAAAATCAATATCAATCAAAATTTGGACTTACCGCATTTCTCAGTCCTAAATAATATTATGAACACTTCCTTTATCAATTTAACAAAGCTGGAAAATCATGACAACGAATGGAATCTATTGAAAGCACAGATTTCTGACGTAAAGGAGCAATCAAATAATAATGTGAGAATACATGACATTCATCATTATAGTCTGGGATATATCATCGTCGGTCTATTCGTCCTGGCTGCATGCATCATTCTGTTCCGCCGCTACAGGCGCCACAGTGCAGGCGCGGAGGCATCTAGCGATCGTACCGCTACTACTTCCAGCGTTCCAGATCAAAGTGTTAGTGAAGTGTGTGTGAATGTGTCGGGAAAAAACGAAATAAGTGAAACGGCAGTTCATATGCCGGGTATTCAAAGTGTGCCGAGTGAACTGAGGCAATCAATGTTGAGTGTAGATAAAGCTACCTCTATATCCCCTATAACTAAACGTTCGGTCAGATTTAAGGGACTAAATAACTAAAATGTAGTTTTTTATTTATATACCTTTTTTAATTTAGATAAATATCATTGATTTTATTACAATTTTATTCCTATATTTTTGCATTATATTGCTGAATTAATTTTACAATTTAATATCAAATTCCTGGAGAAGACTTTATTGTTTAGTATTTGCATCTTATCATTGTTCGTACTGCCCTTCATCCTGGAGGCGCAGGATGTACGAGTTGTTGTCCATCGTACATGGTTTTCTCCGTGTAAGCATAATAATTAAGGTCGCGTCACCGCCGCGATTCGTAAACGCGTGCAATTTGTAAAATAATGCATTTCTATCATCGGTCAATAAATCAGTCTATTTTTAGCACTCTATCGGAACGGTTTTATTTATCAAACATCGTCGTTCAACCCTATCATTATCAATTATCAGTTATCATTTTCTATTAAATGTAAAGGTACTTAGCATTGAACCTTACAAGTATGTCAAATAATTGTGAGTTAACAGTGACAAATAGTGATGTTATAGCATACAAATATTGACATCGTAAATTAATAGATGTATGTAGGAATACCTCGGTGTGTCCGCAGGCTAGACGCCTAGCCGATGGGCACATAAGAAATATGATTCGTTTTATTAGTTCGAATTACTCGTTCGAATCGCTCGTATTGTATGACGGAAAATTTCAAAAAAAAACACGTTATCTATCGGGAGTCGTGTACTCCGTCCCGCTCTAGCGCTATATATGAATATTGAATCGTGTAGGGTGAGATGTTCGTGTGTATGGTAGTATTACCCCCGCGTGCGTGACGGCGAGCGTGGCGCACACGGCGTCGGGCGAGGCGGCGCGCAGGCGCACGTGCTGCTGCGCCTCCGCCCACGCGTACGCGTGCACGCGCGGCCCCCACTGCGGCACGTACACGTACACCATTTACAATAACCGAAATGACTCTTCAGCGGTAAATTTAAAGTTTTCCATTTCAATATTTTGCGGTCTAATTTACGATGCCGTATGCGCTCCTTTGACGGTTGGCAACGGTGTTTTTTAATAACTGTTAAAATAGAAAATAATGTAAAATTGTTAATTTTATTCTTTATAATTTTCTAGACGATTCCGAGATAAAGAAATTGTGTAACTATATGTTCTAATGACAAATTATCAGCTTGGAACTCGATGTCGAAACGACGCATCGTGTCGTTCCTTGAGGTCGGTGCTATTCGTAAAGTTTAATGTAAGAAATTTTAAAATTAGTTCTTTCGTCTCTACCGGCGCGCTCGATAAAGAATAATTTATATAAAATAATAAATAACCTACCAATTTGGCGATCAACTATCCTTGGATCATTCATCGTATCGCGCTTAATCGTTATTTTTTCCGCTAACGGAGCGTTATTTTTTCCTCGTATTATTCAAATTAGCAATTCAATCACGTTATCGTATTAACCCTATAGATGCAATAACAAAGACAGTTCGAAGAAAACCATATATAGTCAATAATCTTTGTATCTGGCATTGCTTTTCTATTTTAAATGATTTTAATTAATTTAATATAATAAATAATTATACTTAACTAGTTAATGGTTAATTATGGTTAATTTACAAAATCCGGTAATTAATTTCTAACTTTAATAATTCTGTTATATAAAATGGCTCAGCGACGGGTAACCTGTCGGGTATTGCTTGTATCGTTACCACTCACCAGAGTGGCGGTGGTGGTGATCGTCTGTTCGAACGGCATGTGGAAATCTCTGGCGGGCGAGACGCGCACGCGCACGCGCACCGCGCACGCGCTCGCGCCCGCCAGGTGCAGCGCCACCCACCCGCGGCTCTCGCGCGACTCTGCACACAACGCAACACAACCGCCGTTATGTCTCCTCTCTGCTGTTGTACACGATGAGTTATCGTTTACAACTACTAATCTTACTACTAAGTGTAATATACTACTCTGCATCTGAAGGATAGCTTGCGTTTCGACATCGGAATGTGCGACGATGTGATCAGAATCTACATTTATTTAGCGCTATTATACGATATAATAAGTCATTTTTTAAAATTACCCAAAATCTTATATTTCGATCATGAATGCGTAGATTTAGCTGAATAGCAAGAATTTTCGGAGATAACACATCCTAGTAATACTAATTTTATTCGAAGAATACTATGTTTTAAAACTATCAGTATTTATAGTGATAACAGCCGATAGCCGGAGCAGAGGTTTATCTGAAAGATTTCGGTCAGCGTGCGTGTGTGTACGTGCATGCATGTGCGTGCGTGTACGTGCATGCGTGTGTGTACACAGACCGCAGTCGGGCGAGTCCTCCGCGGGCCCGCGGTCGGCGCACAGCGTCCGCTCGAGCTCGTGCTGCAGCTGCGAGCCGAGCGCGCGCGGCAGCTGCCACGTGCCCGCCCCTGCAACACGACGACCACACGACATACACACAACGGTACAAGTCGTTCATTCGTTCGGTTATTCACTTATGAATGTTATGCGGATGTGAAAACGCTATCTGCATCAGCTAATCTTCATTAAAATAAACAAAATAAATTCGTTGGGTTTGTTCTTTTAATTTCGAGAATGCAGGGAAAAGGTCCCTCGGCCCCAAAAACAAAGATTATAATACAACGGTGGCTGCCTCTAGACGCTCGAGTACGCCCAGCGGAGTGTCGTATGGTTAAGGGATTTGAATATTTTTTTCCTCAAAAAGTCTTACAGAGGATTATGACATTTTTTAAACCGAGGTTAAGTCAGAAACGATGAAAGAAAAATGAAACTCCCAGTTCGAGAGGTGCCGCACGAAGATGCTGCAAAAACGATGCGTTGAGCAAACGAGTTGCGAGCGGTACATTTCCGAAAGATAACAACAACAGATAGATAAAATTGTTGTATTATGGGGTGAATTAGCAGTGAGCGTCTGCCTGACCTGCGCGCTGCCTGTACGTGACGAGGAGCGGGCGCGTGGGGTTCCCGCCCTCGGAGCTCACCCACACGCGCATCGGCCACCGCGCCTGCTCCGCGTTCTGGTCAACAGACAATACAACTATAATCACACAAATATATTTTATTATTTAAAAACCACCACATAGCGACACGAGCACCAGATAATGGTCAAAGCAATTTTCAATTACGAACTAACTCACCGGGTTAAAATCTAGCATATACTCGACACTAGTATCTACGGTCAGCTCATGGATCTCCTCCAATGACAATCTGATAGTAAAAAAAAAGATCATGGCGTATTACTCCTAAGTTGTTTTAAATGACCAGGAGACCATCCTAATTGTTGCAATATCGGCCAACAACTGATATTATCAGAATTACTTTTACGAAAAACTGTCACTTGATTTGATTGCAAATCCTGTTATGTGACCTCAAGTCCGTTGAGACCGTAGAGGACCTAAGCATTTTAACCTAACCATGATATCAAAGACAAAACAGAAAAGCGTGTGATTTTAAGCGACCCTCTACGTTTCTATACTTATATGAAACGATTGTTCGTTCGCAACTAGAATAATAACCTATTTGGAATTCTATATATCAGAAATATATTGACCTGCTAGAAAAAGTACAACTATTTTATTCGCATAAGGTTTACTATAAAATTTGTCGTATTCGGCAGTCATACGATCGACTGCTAGACAGGTACAACCTGCTGAGCCTGCAAAATAGACAAACATTTCTTGGCAGCATGGCTATACACGCCATCTGTAATATGCATAATAAGTTTGATTTGTTCGAGCTGAGCAACAAACTGTGTTATGTGGCACCTCACACGGTGTGGTTGCACCGTGGGCGTGCGTTACGCCCCGCGTGCAGTGAACGCGCACCTCATATCGCTTGCTCGACACATTCAACGAAACGCTTCCTCATGTAGACATTTGTGCAAGCAATACATACTTATTAAATAATCAGTTAGAGAACAATTGATTTCCTTACGCACTCCTAATGTAATATAGATATAGTCTATATTAAACTTTAACTGTACCTGTCTATTGTTAATTAAATTCTATAAATGCACCAATCTAATTGTAGACCCTATGTCTTGTATCGAGCTTTACGACTCAGTAACATGTGGATAACGGTTAGGGTCTTACAATTATCTATGCATGTTTATTGTAATATTATTGTATTATTATGTATTGTGCAAGCTGTTGGTTGTCCCCAATAAAATAAAAATTTGAAATGTGCTAATTAAGCCGTTTTATTTGATACCCTACACGGAAAGATTGAACAGTATATTTTTTAGTTTCTTCTTTTATGCTCTCTAAAGAGTGCTTTTGCCAATTTAATGTAAAGTCACATAGCCTCAGAAAACTCAGACGCAACTAATGATACCTCATTTGTACAGTTACAATTTGTTGTTTTCGATTCGCCGTAGTCGGGTATAAAGTAACAAATTCGTCGGCCCTGTTAGGTCCTGGGTAGCTCATTGGTTAGAGTAGTTACTGAATTGCGAAAGGTCGTGGGTACGAGTCCCATCTTAAACTACCTGGGGCTGGTGGATTATTTAAAAAGCACTTTCATTAAGAATATTCACTAGTCTATACTATAGCATTGTGAATGCAAAATTTATTAAATATTATAATTGTATTTATTTTGTTCACAATCTGGTCATTAACACGTTATACTTTTGTTTGTTTAAGCACCATCGCTTTTTGTTTTGGTCACATTTCTAACGTGAGGATAATAATTAATTTAGCAAAAAAAATTGTATTTAAAATAATCGAGTTCAATTTCATTGATAATTTTGAATGTAATACATAAATTTTACTTAAGTATAAAGTACAATATACATATATTCAACCACATAAAATAATTCCAAGCTGACTATAATTTTTATTCGTTAATCAAGTGACAGTCGTCTAGTCCCAATAATTGCAATCTAACAATCCGACAACACTCACTGCAACCGCGTGATGGAGACGTTCAGGTGTGAGTGTGCGCGTGCGCCGGCCCGGCACAGCCACGCCGCCACCACCAGCAGCAGCCACCGGCACATCATCACATGCCGCTCTTGCTACTGTCACAATACAAACACTGAATATTGAACCTCACCGATCAGAGGATCACATTTATTACCACTTGGGGGAGCGTTTTAAAGTTTGTGTCACGATATCGCGCGGCCTACTAGCTCGCGTTATCACCTCTATCGTATCGATGTCTCATTTTATCGCACACCTATACTCCTGATACCGTGTCTATACACCTTTTTACACCAAACCCAATTGTGACTAATCCCGGTTTCTGTGTATTTTGTAATCTGTACAGTCGACACTGGTTCTACACTACTAGTAGTGTAGGTATCGCAATGTTTGTGTAAGCTCACTGATAATGATCGACTGACGTTTTTCGAATAGGGGTTATCGAGTTCAAGTACATGTATTCCGTAAAGAATATAATGAAATTAGAAATAATTTACTAGATAATGCTCGGTTTGTGCGTGACGTGCAGCTCGGCGGCGTTCTGAAACTTTCTTCTGTTTTTGCCGATGTAACAGATTAAGAAACGATCGACGCAAAAATATTCTATGAAATTTAATGCAATACGTTTTTAATATGTTCATTCATAACAATGAGTTAAATAACTAGAGAAGCGATCCCATACAATGGACGCGCAAAAAGGGGAAGCACTTTTCCCGAATCAGGACGTAGCTTTGCAAATAACCTCTATACTAAACTAGCCTTCCGCCAGCGGCTTCGCCCGCATGATCTAGTTTTAAGTCCAGAAATGAGAAAAATCCTTAACAACTTTCATCCCCTAATTTACCCCCTTAGAGGTCGAATGACGTAAAGTCCCGTCTTAGTGAGCACCTACTTCCTAAAAGGAACCCACATGTAAAATTTGAAACTCCTAGCACTTGTAGCAACGAAGTTTCATACAAACTTTCATCCCCTAATTAACCCCCTTAGGGGTTTGATTTCAAAATTATTTCTTTTGTGTTTTAAAATCTAATTGGATTTTAAAATAATTTACAAGTGCTATGACTTTAAAATTTTGCATACGATTTCGTGATGAGTGAGTGAGTAATCTTTCGCCTTTTTAAATATAGATAATATAAATAGGTTAAGTATGTTTATCTCCCTCATATTTACTATTAAACTTTAAATTAAATAAAAAAAGTATATGCGAACAACAGAATGAACTAAAAAATAGGTAATTGATACTGTATTGCCAGCTGTCGAAAATTTACCCCTTATGATGAATGAATGAATTAACGAGTAATGCAGAAATATATGTATAAAATCAATTAGTAAAATACTGTTACTATGTAAATTTCTTTGACATTCATATTCAAAATCGAGATAATAATCGTTCGCTGTCTTTTATCATTTAGTCAAAATAATCTTTATTCAAATTGACTTCTTAAAAGTACTTTTCGTGAATTGTCCAATGTTTTTTTTCCTTACCACTCGTTCAGGACGTCTTTTGGCTGATAAGAAGATCGAGCAAGAAACTCACCAGCTCTAATAGGAGTAACGACATTCACAAAAACCATGTCATTACCAGATTAATATTTTATATAGAGAAAAAAAAGTTATGGTCTTATAATGATAACATTATAATTTAATTATAATGGAAACAAGATAATTGTTGATATATAATGAGTTTAGAAGAAAGCACTAATTCAGTTGCTGGATCATCTTAAGTCCAAGCATTCTTATCTGTTATATAAACAGATACATTATAAGAAGCTATTTAAATAGTAGATTTAAACTGCATGATATCTAATTGTTGTATTTTGCTTGGGACGTTATTGTAGAAGCGCACACATAAACCCCTAAATTAATTATTAACTTTTTGCAGTCTAGTGACAGGCACCGTTAATTTATTTTTATTTCTTGTATTAAAATTGTATATATCACTTTTTAGAGAAAACAAACTAATATTTTTACGAACGTAAGTACATTAAGTTCTCGTATATGTATTGAGAAGCAACAGTCATTATGTCTATTTCCTTAAATTTCACCCTTAAAGAGTCCCTAATCATTTTCTGAACAAAAATTGTTTGTATGTCGGCAGCATTTCCCCACAACAGGATTCCGTACGACATCACACTATGAAAGTAACTGAAGTATACTAATCTGGCAGTATCTATGTCAGTTAACCTACATATTTTCATTACGGCATATGCTGCAGAGCTAAGTATACTCGACAATTTATCAACATGTGGGCCCCACTGTAGTTTAAAATCTAATGTTACTCATAAAAATACAGTGATATCCACAAGGCCCATGTTTTTATCTTTTATATGTATTAACATTTATATCCACTTTTTTAACATTAGGCACTCATAGCATGGATATCGAATGAAACTGTAAGCCGAGAAGATCATTGTCTACTCATCTTTTGATCGGAGTAAAGTATATAGTCCAATAATATAGTATATATAAACAAGGTGTGATTGAGAAATTTTACATAAAAATACCATTGATTTTTTATTCCAGGCAATATGCCATCATCTGTATTAAATTGTTTCACTTAATAGCCTTTTTATTGGGAATTACTGTCTCTTAATCTATATACAGTCTATAGTTTTCAATATATTTTTGAGCAGCAACTATGAGTACGGTTATGAACAGAGATCCTTCATCTAAAAACCTTACCAGCAGTTGTAAGAGATAACAATATAAATGTAATTTAAATTTATAATGATCAGTAGTAAAATTAAAAGCAAAATTTATTTATATAATTGAAGTACTTTACTGTTATTTAATTTGAAAAAAATTACTTCAGTTTTTATCATTTTGTCTGCTTTAAAAACAATCACGAAAATAGGCTGTACGCATATAAATCTCTGTTTTTAAGACAAAACATCTGTCAAAGATCATGAAACATTAATCAAATTTTAATTTTACGTATTTTCAAAAACTAACGAATTCTGTACTTTGACACTTTAAAAAAGTGTGTGTAAAAATATATCAACGCAATTTGCCTAAACCCCGATACTAAAGTTACGCCATATAATTAATTAAAAGCCACGTAAAATAAAAAGAAAATACTCCCATATAATTGAAATAATTGAAAGTGAATAGTAGTGGCAACACCGACGACAAAATGTCAAATTTTTATTTAACATTTTTTTTCTGAAACAAGCTTTAATTTTGTTTTTATTGTCAAAAACATTAATGATTTAAGCGTGAAACTTACTATTCTTTCATGTAATGTGTATTCGTGGAAGAGAATCAAACAAATGTCTGGTGTGAAAAATAATTTATTAACAATATGAGGTGTGAAAAGATAAATTACGAGTGCTCGGTGGCGGGCGGTGGCGGTGGCGGGGGCGGGGGCGTCAGTCGCGAGTAGCGCAGCCCCAGGTGCTGCACCGCGTACTCCACCTGCTGCAGGCAGTGGTCCAGCTGCGCGCGACTGTGCGCCGCCGTCATACAGAACCTGACGCACACATCGCACCGCTCTAAGTACTGATTGTATTCTTTATACGAATAAGCGTCCTGAACCGTCCAGTATTTGAGCACGTGATCATTCATATAAAGTACTAGTTTTTGCCCGCGACTTCGTTCGCGTGGTATAGTTACTTTGATTACAAGTAACTATAGCAGCATTTCTAACGACAAATTATTCATATTATTATATCGTGTAATATACCTGAAATAAAGATTCATCCCCTATTTTATCCCCTAAGGGGTGGAATTTATCAAAATCTTAGGGGATGCCTACGTCATAACATCTACCTGCATGCCACATTACAGCCCGATCCGTCCAGTGGTTTGGCTGTACGTTGATAGATCACTATGTCAGTCAGTCACCTTTGAGTTATATATATTTAGATTTATATAAAGCGTGTAATTACCGAATTTATATGTATCAGAATAATAAAAATAGATTATTTATTCGTCGCCGTGAGCATTGTTGACTGCTAGAAAAAAAAAAAATGTTGGACCGTCCAATAGATATGTACTGACGCTACATATTTGAATAAAGTTACCTTTGACAGCGTAAATAAAGCAATTAAATCAATATTTGTTTTTAAATCTATTTACGTGGTAAATCAGTGAAATTCTGCCGAATTTCCGGTTCGGTAAAAATTAAACAGCATATTATTCGGTATTCGGTTATTCGGTGTGACCACTATTCGGCGCATCTCTACTTTTTATGTATAATACACGACCATCTGAGCATAGCCGCTGGCGAAAAGCTAGTTATTGAGAGATTAATAGAAAATTTATATCTTTTACTCGAGTATAAAATAAAATAATGCACCACTTGTAATTTGTAAACTAATGGATAATTTGCACGTTCGCCGGATAATGAACCAAATCTAAGGATATTATACTCGCCCATGGTCAATAAAATATTATTTTTCATTGAACGTAAACATAGTACTAGCGCAGGGGTCGACAACCTGTGTTCTGTAAAATTAAATTCTTTAGCCCTGCCGCTCTTATAAGATAGCCGCCGTGTATGGTGTGTATGGTGTATGGTGTACTGTATACCGTACCGTATCCTGGCGGCGTTGAGCGGCGTGGCGGGGAAGCCGACCCCGACGGCGGCCACGCCGCGTCGGCGCAACACCTCCACGGTGGCGGCCATCTTGCTGAACGTGTACACCATCAGCGGCACCACCGGCGACGCCTCGTGCCCGAGCACCACCACGCCCATCTCGCGCAGTCTGCGGGGTTAAGGTGAGTAATATTTCCACGGTGCGAGACGAGTTTCTAAAAGAGCAGGAACAGAGAAGAGACCGACCTGCGCCTGAAGTAGGCGGTGTTGCGCTCGAGCGCGAGGATGCGCCGCTCGCCCTCGGGCCCGGCGACGGTGCGCAGCGCCCACAGCACCTGCGCGCACACGGGGGGGGGCATGGCGGCCGCGTGCGCGTGCGCGTGCCCGGCCGCGCGCACGCGCCGCACGAGCGCCGCGCTGCCCGCGATGTACCCGCCCGCGGCGCCGAAGCTCTTGGTGAAGGTGCCCATGAGCACGTCCACGTCCCGCGGCGGCACGCGCGCGTGGTCGCACACGCCGCGGCCGCGCGCCCCCATCGCGCCCGCCGAGTGCGCCTCGTCCAGGTACAGCTGCAGCCGCAGCCGCCGCTTCAGCGCCACCAGCGCGCGCAGCGGCACCACCGTGCCCTCCATGCTGTACACGCCCTCCGCCACCTGCGCGGCCCCGCACGCTTAAACCCACGTTCGGTGAGTCCTCTTTCGCGAATAAAAAGTAGCGTTCGATCGCAAAATAAAGATTACGTATTTGAAATTTTTTTGCATATCACAGAAAGGATCGCTCGACGGAGCTATTATAGCGTCCATTCGTTAAATTGTTTGAGGTTGTTTTCTTTATTTATTTATATTATCGTGTCTGTTGTGTGTCGCGACTCACGATGACGATGCGCCGCCAGGTGCCCTCGGCGATGGCCTCGACGGCGAGCCGCTCGAGGTGGCGCAGGTCGTTGTGGCGGAACACGCGCACGGCGGCGCGCGCGCGACGCAGCCCCATGATGAGCGAGGCGTGGTTGTTCTCGTCGCTGAGCGCGAGCGTGCCGGGCCCCACCAGCCCCGGCAGCGACAGCGTGTTGGTCGCGAACCCCATGCCGAACACGACCGCCGCCTGACGCACACACACACACGCGCGCCTCGTTCAAACATACATTTTACTAACTCGAATTACGAAGTACAAAAATTAAGTCCGCAATAGTAGAGACGACATTCGATTATCTAATATATAATTATTTTTTATGTATAGCTTATTCAACGCTAACATAATACTCGAGATCGATGTCCGTTTTTTCCTCCCGCCCCAGGAGTTAAGCTGTAGTTTCGTTCTCGCACGCGAGTACACCCTAATACGATAGCTAAATGTATGGTGGGGGAACCTCGACGCCGAGGAATCGAGCGAGCGTCTCCTCCAATTCCCGGTGCAGCGGCGTGGTGCCGAGCTCCGCGCGCGTCGAGCACACGCTCAGGCCGTACTGGCGCACGGCCGCCGCCACCGGCGGGGGACTGGTGGCGCCCAGGCCCAGGTAGTTGTACGAGCTCAGGTTCAGGCACTTCAGCTTGCGACCGGTGAACCTGCACAACGATCGAACCGTGACGACGGAGAACGAGGCCGGCTTTGCAAAAAACCCTCTCGCATATCGTGTCATATCTATTAAAAGGCACGTAGCTAGATTTTTTCGCTCATACTATGCGTAAACTTGTAATAAAATCTTTCTGGCTATACCATTTGGGTCTGGCTGGTTATAGTACCGTTAAAAAGTTTCTTTTGTTTCTCTTCCCGTCAAATGAGCGAATGTAATGAAGAAAGTCGGTACATTTTAAAATTTTATTACAAAAAAAGGTAAAATACAACACAAACCGCAAAAAAAATGTATCGTAAATTTGGTTTAAGCGTTTTCAATCCGAAAATCTTAATGTTAAAGATGCACGTCGCGTTGAAAAAGTGGATCACGTAGGACGAGAACATGCGAAAAATTTCGGTTGTAGTCACAGAACATAGAGAGAGAATAGAAGTATAATGATATTGATTTAGTATGGGAACCGAGTGTCGCCTCTCCGCACACAAATGCAGATTAGATGAAATGATCATTTTGTTCACTACATGAAAAACTGCCACGCGATTCGTTCGTGATAACATAAACAGAATCCCAAAAAGATACTAAGCTAAGAAATCACACGATTAAAAACGAACTCTAATTCAACGTGATAATAAATAATTTACTTTAACATGAATGTTGAACTGTGACGTGGCTGTATACGGGGATACCAGAAGGGAAAAAATATTTTAAGATTATGCACATTTTAAAAAATTGGGGACATCATTTTATGTGCGAACTATTAAGATTAGATTTTGCTGTAACCAAGTGAATATTAAAAAATAACGCTCTTCCCTATATAACTTCTTTTAAAAAACGCAGTACAAAAACTAAGAAAACTTAATGATAAACTCTATCATATGTCTGTGGAGTAATATAATTAAGCGAGGGAAAGTGTAAAAAAAAAACAAAAATTAAGAAACCAACAGAATTTTTTTATTTATTACATTAAGCCTAATTTGTATTTTTTTCTTACCGGTATCATTCCGATTGTGCATATTAGTGATGTGACATAATAGTAGTTGATGAAATAAGAGGTTTAAATTTTGTTATGAAACAGTAAAATGTAATTCAGTTCGACAATGTTCTACAGTGGTTTGATAGTAATTATTTAAAGCTTAATTCAAATAAAATGAAATACATAAAGTTTGCATTACCTAATGTGAGGCATATTAATAGACACTTATAAATGTAAATAGTTAAAAAGTTGAGTTGGTGAAATCGACAAAGTTCCTTGGTATTACACTAGATTCCCGACTGCAATGGGATCCTCATATTGATAATTTGTCAAGTAGACTGAGTTCTGCAGCATTTGCTGTTAAGCAAATTAGACTCTTGACAAATGTTGAAACGGCAGGATTGGTATATTTTAGTTATTTTCATAGTGTAATGACGTATAATCTATTGGTGTGGGGTTCTGTGGCTAGCATTCAAGATATTTTTATTCTACAAAAGAGAGCTGTCCATGCTATATATAATTTACGGTCTAGAGAATCTCTCAGAGAAATATTTAAAGAAATAAATATTTTGACTGTTGCCTCTCAATACATCAATGAAAATATTATCTACGCAAGAAAACATTACGATTCCTTCACAAAAAAAGTAGTGTTCATAATCATAACACAAGAAATAAAAATAAACTTGCCGTTCCAAGCTTCAGACTTCAGAAAACCAGAGGATCAATGCATTTACATTGCTATGTTCAATAAAGTTCCACAAAATGTAGTTGACCTACCCATTAATAAATTTAAAATTCATGTAATGAACATACTTATGAGTAAAGGCTATTATAAAGTTGATGATTATTTTAAGAATCGCAATGCATGGAATGAATAGCCATCGCTTTGTTCTATAAAGACTAATTATATGTTCAACCTATGTCCTACAGACTTTGAAAGTTGTATTTATTATTGTGATAAGATATGAAATGACATGATTTATGTAAATATCATAGGGCTGGTAAGTTTCTTTCGCTTGTTCTTCTTGTCAGCTAAAAGACGTCCTGAAGAAGTGGTAGGGAAAAAATTTTTTGGACGATTCAAAAGCGATTCATAATAACTAATATGATCATTACAATAATAAATTGATCATAGCCATGTTTGTTTTACTTTATTATTCTAAGTTTTATAACTGTAATAATAATAGTACCTACATTTTTAATTGCAACGACTGGACAATAAGGAATCGCTGGTCAAGTATGAGTTTGAAAGCCATGACAAAAAAGTTTGAAGACAGACACAAAAGCGATAAGTACGTACAAACGTCAATCTACATATAAAGTCACATCCGTTTGAGACATGCGTTTATAAACTTATGTGCAAATATGAAGCAACAAAAAAACTGATAAAAGCTGTTCTGTGGGCGGTTCTTTAAAGTGGCTATCTTAACTCGATTTCTATAATAATGGTTTCCGATTATGAATCAGCATAATAAAGTAAATTAAATTGACGCCTATAAATTAATTTTGTAAATTAAATTCACACCACCAACAATATTACGTTAGTTGAAAACATGATTTTTTGTTTGTATAGATTTGTTTTGAAATTCATTTGATAGGTTTAGGTCTAAAACGGATAGGACAAAATAAATTATGTAAACAGGGCATTCCGTTGTAAAATTATTAGGGAAACTGAAATATAAGTAATGCAAAATAAGTGAAATCCAGTTTCACCAGTTTCTAATAAGACCTATTAGGCCAACACTCGTAGCTTTTCACGAAGTTTAGTTTGATTTATATATTGTTCATAAAACGTTGATATACTTCGTAACTTAGATATTTATAGCACATCAGTATTTTTTAATATTTATCTGCGTGTAAATAATTAACCGAAACTTCGTAAAAAAGTGCCTGAATAGTTCATTATTTCATCTGTTCAGTATCAATTCATCTTTTATTTTCAGGAGGCACAGCACTATTTATTGCAAAAGTGCACAATATGATTTACATTGCTGTCTAGAAACGGGGTTAGAAACATCAATGTTGGTTTGAGCAAACAATGTATATTTTATTTGAAATTGTGTCAAGTTATTACGTTTTTTATATTTTAGCACTAAAATTGTACTTACCAGTGAAAGGAAATGTTTGCATTAGTTAGATTGTATACTTTGTTTTGCTTTTTGCAAGTGATAATAGCACAAAACGGTATTTTTTATAGAAAAAATCAGTAAAATCACCACTCGACGATTGACGAACGACTGACAAATATAAAACCGAGGAAAGGGCGTCATATGAGTAAAAGCGCATATGCCAGCGACGCTTGCCACGCCCACTTACTACTTCTATTCTCTCTCTATGTTCTGTGGTTGTAGTCAAAGGCCGATCAGACTTCACAGACTGTGGCGAAACCCTGGTTAACTAGCAACAAGGCGACACTGTGTGTATGGTGTGATTGGAAAGGCATTATTCATTATGAGCTGTTACCGCCAGGCAGGACCATTGATTCTGAACTCTACTGCGAAATAATAGTTGAGAGAAAGCGGCCAGAATTAATCAAAAGAAGGGATGTGGTTTTTCATCATGATAACTAGACCATAACTATAACTAGACTTCACACAGCTTTTGCCACTCAGCAAAAAATAAGAGAGTTTGGCTGGGAGGTGTTACTGTATCCGCCGTAGTCCTGACCTTGCACTTTCAGACTTCCACCTGTTTCGGTACCTACGTACAAAATTTCCAATGAGATCTAGTCCCTACCTACAAGATGGCAAAAAAATATTAAACAAAATGATAGCTCCATACTTTAGTTAACTGTAAATTAACTATTAAAAGTTGTATTGAATTTTCATATAAAATGCGAGGCAATTTTCCCAACCTTTTATTTAGTCATAACATATGTAGTGGCAGGAAATAAAATGCGCAAATATAGACAAAAAAATTGTACAGATCATAAGGAAATATATTGCCGTAAAATAATTTTAAGAAGCTGTTTGCGGCCTATTTTGTATTTTTGTCGAAATAATATATGTATATACAAATGAATGGCTTTTCGTGTGTCTCACTAAAATTTGAGAACGGCTGGGCCGATTAAGCTGATCTTAGTTTGAAATATTTTAAACTGAGATTTGTTTTAAACCCGAGGGAAGGTTTAGACAGTGAGAGATGATAAGAAATACAAGTCATCTGGTAATAAAAAATAAATTTTAAAATAATTTTAAATATAAAAAAGGTTCTGTACATATTGTATATAAAGGAGGCATGGTTAAGTGGTGATCACTCACCGGAAGGTCCAGTTGTAGTCGTCGGACTGCCGCTCCATGATGGTGATCTCGGCGGCGGGGGCGGAGCATATGGGAGTGTTGAAGCAGTGTCGCACGCGCCGGTACACATATCGAGATATGAACTGCTCAAACGGATTGTACAGTGGCGCGTACCCCTACCGACAAACGAGCACATACTCAGCCACGGACAATTTTCTACGTATCTAAGAACAATTACCAGGAAGCACTGCATAATACTTTCACGACGTTTGTCAAATCCCCATAATTCTATCGCAAAGGCCTAAATGAACTTTTGTTATTATTAAACAAATATGTTACATCTTGAAAAAAGTTTTAATTTGCAAATTATAAGTAATACAGAACAGAACGAGTCATAGCCATTCAAATTTTACCAATCAAATCTTCCCAAGGGGCCCCGACTATGAGTCGTTCTGTTATTTAGTATTTCTTAACAGAATTCTAAACTACTGGGCTTGTTTCTTTCTTTTTAGTTTTTATTTAAGTTATTTTTTCATGTATTTTTAAAATTCGTTTTTACGTGGTCGGGTTTTGTTTTTCTTTTTCACTTACACGTACATAATATCTATTTATAGTTAAAACAATAAGAATTACCAGATTAGATAAATCCGCTTGGGGCAACCAAACGATTAGATAATAACAGATTCAACCATGAGCATATTATAGCTCCCCCCCCCCCATAAAATGTAAATATGCATAGGTACTTGTTGCAAAAACCTTCATACATAAAATTAAAAATTATATTGAAAAGTAATATTAACGAAGTGTTTCGTCTTCGCTACATGGCTCATTCGCCATTTCAATGCTGAAAATAAAAATAATTTAATCAAGTGCATCCGAATAATACGTAAATTACGCGGTTTTACTATTCATTATAGTAAGATTACATTAACGGAAAGCAAAACCGCGTAGCTACATAAAATGTGTAAATACAGACAAAGCAACACTTGGTTTATATAATTCGGTGATCTGTTTCAATATTAAAAGTATTTATAAAGACTTGATATATTAGGCACGTTTATTTTTATAATAATGGGCAGTTTGATCAAAAATGTTAGTTTAGGAGTAGATGAAGTAAAAATGCATTTAAATGAATCTTAAATCTTAACATTTCACACGGAAAATAGTTAATCAACATTGAATCAACACTTACCTGATATTATAATAACTTTTTTTAACGTAAACACAGAGTTTAACAACACAAATGAACCACGAAATACGCTTCCAATGACACCTGAAGATACGCAGTTTTGTCAAAATGCCGGTTGTAGATACGCAGTATTGTTTTTGGGCGAATTCTCGCTTTCTATTGGTTGAACGAAAGTCACGTCAATGAGAAGGCTGCTAATCGGGGTCTAGCGTGGAATGTCCGCGAAATTTAAAATTGGCTACACTTGTCAGATACGCGGAATTATCCAATGCTAGTTACGCAGGTTTGCACTATCCCCGACGAATTGTTTTTTGTACATAAAAGTTAAATTCTAATTTTGATTTTATGATCATAAATACATTTTCTAATTAGGGTGTATAAGGATGTGCGTTATTCCTGTTACACATTGTATAAAAGGTAACACTAAAACTACTTTGCTGAAAACCGCGGCAAAACCGTAATGAAATCGGTTCAGTCAAACGCACTATAATCGCGCACAAACATACATGTATGTATGGTCAAACTGAGAACCTTCGTTTTTTGCAGTCGGTTAAAAATAACCAAGTCTCGATGCAGCTGCTTGTTTATCTCTAAAAAGTAATGAAATCTCTAGACAAAGTTGAACCAAGTCTAAGTTTCGTTACTTTACCCGACTACGGCGGCCAAACGAAAAGAAAGATTATTATTTTGGCCGGTATGTATGTTAGAATGTTCATCTGTTTCCTTATAACTTTGAAACTACTCATAATAACTGGACAAATAACATGACGTCCAAGTTCTTTAATAACACTTTCCGTCACCACAATACTGCCAACTGCACGTAGGAGACCATTACACGATTTAAATAGATACATTCGACCAAACAATTTTGTCTTTCTACATGGATTTACCAAAAACAACACGTTATACGATTTTAATACATACCTTAATTAAGGAATAATTTTATATAAACGATCATTTAATCATTTTGAGTCCAACCACAGACCATTATTAAATTAAATAATTGTGTTAAAGTACATAAGTGAGCAGTTGTCCGCGTGCTATAGGCTAATTGACGTCACATTAAATGGCAATAGCGCCCTCTAGAACATAAAGTAAGAAACTTAAAAATATAAATGTATTATATTTCTTTATTACAGAATGTATTTAGTAGGATTTCACTTCTTTTTGCAGAAAGTTGCCGAGTTGCGGGCTGATTGACTTATTACTTTTCTTGTTAGACACAGTTTTTTTCTTTTCAGGAGGTTTTTTTTTTATTATAACAAATTTTGTGTTTCAAGTGTGTGATTATAGCTTACTAGATGACGAAAATTTCAGCGTTCTAAACCCATCCAGAGGTTCTCAAATAGGGACCTGAAATATTTTCCGATGTGCGAGTCAGTATAGGTAACTATTATCGATCTAGTAGTTTTACTGTGGAGTCTAAAAGTGTACAATAGCACTAAAAACAAAAATCATATTAACAATTACTACAAATGAGCTATTAAACGATATAACTAACCGAGATGACCTAAGGTCTCATTAAATAAGTTGTTTCCCTATTCACCGATTCTCGGATTTCATTATTTCAACTACTTAAATTTCCATTGTAAAATAAAGAAATAATAATTATACCAAACTAATTACAAAGTGTCTTGTGCGTTTGAAAAGGTTAAAAATTACTTTAATAAATAAGTAACATCATAGTGAACATTCAAGAGACCGCACGGAACATGAGCAACTATAATACACAACTTCGATAAAAACCGAGTACCGAATACCGCGCGCGTAAGCTGTGATTCATCAAGGCCGGGCCAATAAAATTATTTAATATCACCACTCAAGCGATACTGGACCGCACCGATCGAATGATGGATAATTTATACATTTGATGCCTAAAATGTAGCATTCACTCGTACTAGATATGTACAATAAAATGTTTAAACATTCGTATGATTCATTTTTTTACGGTTCTACGAACGTTCATATAATGTTGCTGTAAAACCGTACCCTTAATAATTCTGATGAAAGACACATGTTCATTAGCCGATATACCTAACTACCAGTTGCACAAACGTACATTAAAATTGTCATTAGTTTAAAGCGACATTACCCCATACAAATTTATCATTCATTAGAGCTTAAAGGCGTCGTTAAACCTTGAGCAACTGACAGTAAGTCTCTTAAGATAAATTACAGCATTAGATTTAAATGGACTATTTCTGGTAATAAGAAGTGAAAATGGAAATCAACGTCGAAAGAGGCATCGGCGCGTGACGGACACGGCAGCCGTCGGCTGTACATCGTCCACCAGCTCTGTTAATAAATACTTCTTTTCCGCATAATAAGTATTCGAATTGTGGACGGAGAGAATCTACTTAAAAAATATTGTCACTATGCAAAATTTCAGCAACTCAATACAATGTTGGTCAATCGGGCAACAACTATAAAATAATTGAAACCTGCACAGTGGTGAGTCTGTGACGAAATTACCAATAACGTCACAACGTTCGTTAAATAAACGGCCATGGAAGTGGGCCGCGGCAAGACCTCGGTCGCCATCGTTAACGCGTGAAGGAACAGCTTGTTTAGACATTGTTCTATGTGATAAAACCTGCCAAGCGCAATTATCGATCCATTAAAAAGTAAAAAAAAAAAACACATTTGTTGTTTTCTATGGAGTTTTCAGTACTATTCTTTTTTTTTTTTAATTGATCAACTATAATAATCTATTTATTCTAAGTATTAATTAATTGATTATAAATAAGGAATTTATGTATCTAATAAATAGAGATTTTTAAAATTTTTAAACACATGTACATATGTGAATAACCAAATGTTTAAAGTTGGTTTTCACTTGAACCGCAATGACACAGCTTTGGTTTTATTTCATCAAACTACTATATTTCAGAGACCTTAACTTAACTTTTATTTCTTATCATGTCTTGATGGAACTACATCAAAAGGAGAGAGAGGAAGTTTCACAAATAAATCATTATCTTGTCTTGAATCTCTTTTGTTTATATAAAAAGAAATATCAACTGACATTTTGATTTCAAGGATTTAGACATTGGTTTTGTCATAAACCTAAACAGATTTATGGTTTGTATTTGAAAAAAAAAAACTAAAAATGTATAGCTATTGCAAAATACTATTTTTACTGTGTCATACTAAAATAGTATTATAACATCTGTGATACAAACTTGATATCTCGACATGCACATTTTGTTTTCAATGAACAAAACTGATTATAGATGGTATCATTAGTATTCATTACAAGTAACAGATTTTTAAATTAGTGCAGCTATGGAGGTCATCATTCATCATCATCATCAAATATTTTTTTTAATCAATTTTACACTTAAATTGGATGTATTAATTATACAATTGGTTGATTAATAAATTTATAAAATATGAATACCTCTCTATTCTTCTCTGTGGCAACATTGGGAGTGAACAGAAGCTGACTGACAAATCCGAGGAACATGAGGATGTAGAGGCCCAAGTGTGTGAGCACCGCAGTGAGCAGTGTACTCTTCTCAAACGATTCCTCTGTGTCATACTGGGACCAGTCCATTGGTTGTGCCAAATCATCACTAGTTATCTTCTGTAAATAATAATCAAATATATAAGTTATTAATTACACCTAAAAATCTTTTAAAATATTCTAATTAAACAGAAAACCTGCACTGCAAAAACTACTAAACCAGAAGACATTTGGCTTCTACAACTCTACTATTTTTTTTCCTTATTGCCTTTGAATATTTGACAAAACAATGCCGTAAATAAAACACACACTTTAATACACAAAATAAATTATACTTTTTGTTACAATAATGTTTTTTATTTTACTTTCTTTACAAAAAGCAAAGAAATTTTTAAATTCATTGTGTTTAATTAAAATTTATTTTTAAAATTTCTTTCAATTACAAACCAAATTTATGGGTTTTTCAATTGATCAGGGGTGTGGTCAGTGGGATGAGGTTTTATTGGTAAATCTGACACGCAATTATCAGACTGTTGGTGAAGCTTCCCTTTTATTTTTGCCAGCTCAAGCTGTAAATCACTGTATCTATTTGGATCACTAACTACTGGTGTTTCACTCACAGTCTCATCATCAACCTGGAGTAGACAGATCGACTTCAGGCTAAAGGTAACATTACCAAGTAGGGGCGTATCAATGAGTCGAACATGCCACACTATTTCTTACATAAAAATAATTATAGTGTGAGGTTACTTTATCAATTGCGAATTTTTTTATTATGGTTATAAAAATATATAACAAAAATTTACCGTGATCCCATTTCCGAGATGTTTGGGTTTCATGTGGCCATTACTTTGGTTAACTTTCCCATTATTTAATTCTCCATTATTTTCTTGAAACATTTTCGGAGAATTTACACTATCAGAACGATTGAGCTCATTTATAGTCGCCGCCATCCTTAAGAAACTTAAAGAAAACTATTAAACGTAGTTGTAACTCATGTCATGTCACTTTACATGCTGAACTTACTCTTTGATGCTGAATTTTTGAACTGATTGATAAGAAGGAATTGAATAACGTTTACAGTTTCTGTGCAAAACTTGGAAAAATCATAAATCAATATTAAACGAAAACCAATTGTAATACTATGGCATAGTGCCTAAGTTTCAGTTCTGTAAATTATTCCATAGACACTATATTCACTTGTGACACATTTCAAACTGTTTTACCGACTTTATTTGTCTTGTTCGTGGAGAAAAAATTGTGGGAATATCGGAGGAAAAAGAAGAAATTGTTGATTCATCATTTCAGTTTAGTATAATGAGGAAGTATCAAAAATTAACGAAAGCTCTAAAAAAGCACTTCCACTAGATGGCGACTCTAGCAATAGTTGATTTTTCCAGGAAACGGATGGACCAAAAACAGTAATTTCTGGTCCTATTAACTAAAATATAATAAAAATGAAATTTGAAAAGTTAGAAACTTAGATATCAATACAAATACGAAAAAATACAAAAAGATTGTGTTGTTTAATAAGTTTTTAAAACTAATTTACTTTTAAACATGAAAGAAAACCGGAAAGGTTGTCATGGAGAAATCAAGAACATACCGTAGCGACATCTAATTAGATTTCGGGATTTCTTTTAAATACTCCCTCAGTATGAACGCAAAAGACAAGATTTAGATTTTCAAAACTCTTCTTTCTTTTTTTTGTTTATTATGGATCACATAATATATAGGGGAAATAGAATCTAATGGCAAATCGGGACATTTTATTTTGTAGAAGACAACATCGCGGAAAAAGGATAAAGACATCTTGATACTTTTAATATTTTAAATAAATTACTCGTACCTAAACACTTTTCAATAACTGCCTCATAACATTGAATATACTCTTGAGCGAAATCGGACCTCGGCAAATTTTGACATAGATTACCCATCTGGGTGAGACATAATATAGTGCACAGACCTGTATGCTATACTCAATCGTATTTTTATTGATAATCTCTACTAACATTGTATCTCTATTACGCTTAAACATCTACATCAAATCCGCTTTATATCTTTTCTTATTCTCTTCTTCATAAACACGCTTTAAAAAAAAATCGTTCATTTTATGCTTCTTGCCACAGAGAATAATGTCCAATTTTGAGGTATCTCAAAATTTTGCTTATTTTTTACTTATTTCAGGAAATTCAATCCTAAAATAACGTCAGGATAAAAACTGCGACGCTAATAATTATTTTCAAACAGTACTATGATAACTACCCCGATGCGATTGGGACCCTAAAATGTCGGTCTCCTACATTTTGTTTCATCTACTATGGAAAAATTTTCTTTTGTCATAAGATTTTTGATTTATTTCCATATTTACGAGCCAACCTATAAAAAGATTTAATTTTGACAACTTAAAACATTATTTACAAATTACGAATCTCTCTGGCCTCCAAGTAAAAAGATGGTAAGATATTATTCTGTTTTAAGCAAAAACTAATTTAAATTGGCACTAATGGTGAGTAGACACGACCTTTAAAAAAAAGTGACAAGTAAATCAATGTATAAAAAAAGATATGATTATTTGCTATACATATTAAAATAATATTATTAGCTTGAGATATTAATTAATTTCTGTTACACATCATAGAGTTAAGGAACTTGCATACAAAACTGTTAAACTATTTATATTAACATTCTTTTATTTATTAAAAATCGTTAATCTTTTATTTGATTTATAATTTACCTCTTCATATAGGGTAAAACAATAGCTAAATTTTATATTTCAATAAAAATATCGTTTTGTAAATATTTAAAAAAGTATTTTTTACAAATTTGATATGATGTGATAGGTTAAGAGTACCTTATTTTGATAAATAAAACATTGTCTTCTGTAACGTAAGCATCTCGATTTGATAATAAAACGAATAATGTATAAGAAAATACTCGATTAACTTGGCCACGACACTATTATTAAGAAACAAGAATGTTTTAGAACGTTACGTAGTAAATAAAAGGTAACAACAATACTCAAAGATTGTTATAATATAATAATCCAAATAAATTATTGAGGTACGATATCGTTTTATTATCATATTACAAAAAATCTGCAAATATACTTAAAGAGAACGCAGGACGAGTTCTCCACAAATGGAAAAAAGTTCCAAGCAGGACAACGACGACAGGGGATGCTTTCATTTTCTTACAACTGGCAGTAGTTATAAAACGAAACTAACTAAAAGTACCATCAATTTCATAACGTGAAGCATAAGAAAATTTACGAGAAACAAGCTTTGACGGGAATTTTTCTACAAAAAGGGGATCTTCTACATAACGCGTGGAATTCACGAAACTACTTCTGGCAACATTGGTCAGTCTACTAGCTTTGGTGGTCGGTAAAACAGTTTTCATCTTTTTATCCGCATAGGGCTTTCTGAAAAGTCAATACCTTTATTAGTCTTCTGGCGTTTCCTTTGGCAAAAAGTTATTTTAACATTTAAAATATATTTTGTATTATCTGAAAATTTTATTTTATTTTTGGTTTAACTCATTGAAATAACGTTTTTATATCTCACAAATTTGAATATCGGCGAAAGGTGCCGCCCCCGCTGCATTCGACTATCGGAGGGGCCGGCTATGAGTAATACCGTTTTTCGTGCTGAGTGACGTCGTGCACGCGGCTACCGGCGAACGGCTCGCAAATATCAGTCCGATACGACGAAGTCTTACGAAAGGACCCGCCCTCGGCTCTCGCGCCTCTTTGCACCCTATCGATTGTGCTCGCATCAAATTGGAACTTTGTTAAAAATTAAAATAAGCCTACATAATGGATAGTGCTGATGCACTTTTGGGAGGGCTCGGAAGCGGCGACACCGTTTCTCCGGCACCAGTGGCACCCGTCGCGGAACATACTCTAAAACGTGATCAGGACTCCATGGATGACTTCGAACACCTCGAGCGCGACAAGCAGGAGCCTGGAGAGTCACCGTTACACCATCATCGCGTCGCTTCGCAGAGCTTCCTCGATATGGAACGCGAAGAGATAATGGCACCGCCTCGGGTGCCTTCGGGCGCCGATAAGCTGATCGATCACCTCGCCGATAAGTTCACTGACAGCGAATCTGATGCTGACACGGCGGGAGAGTCACCCCTGCATCGGCCCGAGCCGGTGAAAGCGAGCGCTCCCACAATGGAGCCACTGGCACCCAAGAGCGTCGATCCCATGCCCGTGCTAGCTCCCGCGCCCGCTCCTGTACCCGTGCAGCCTGTGGCCGCTGCTGTACCGCCGATGTCCGCACCGGAATCGATCGTTGAAACTCGGTCGGAACCGCCACGCGTGCCCACACCGGAGCCGAAACCGGAACCACCCAAACATGTGCCGGTGCCCCAGCCGGAACCAGCTGCTCCACAACCGAAACCAGCCCCTGCAGTGGTCAGTCCCAAGCCGGAAGCCGTGCAACCGCGCGCTCCCACTGCGCACATTATCGAGGCTGAAGTCATTTTCTGCCAAATGGGACTCGGTGAGTTTTGTATTTAAGTGCTTTATCTTTGTTTTGTTGTATCCCCGAAGCCGACGTTTTGTTTTATTAAAATCATAAAGCGTATCGAGGTGGAGGTGTGCGTCAGTTCAGTTCTTTTGTTTGTTCTGCGGTCTAAGGCTATACTACGGCGCCATATGCTTTGTATTCACATTGCGCGAGCTCTGACTCTATTTGCATCGTTATGATTTCATCGTCCATTTCCGATGTTCCGCGATTGCAGCGGCACCTGACGACGGTGACGACAAAAGCGATTCAATTTTTTGTATGAGACAATGATTATTCATACCGCCGCGCGGCGCTTCGTCAACGCGAAGGCTGTAGACCGTGAACGACCACGTTTACAGGTGAACAAACAAAGATACCATGACGACAGTAACTAAAGCCAGCAACGTTAGCGTGAGTTCAAAAAAGCAGTTCGCACGTGGTAGGCAAGGAATTAGAATCAATAACGATACCATTAGATAGTCAAAGTCCCGAGGAGGGGTAAACTGAAGAGGTGGCGGAGCACCGAGGACAATGACCGCATTGCAACGACCGGCTAACGGCACCCGCTGAAACCCACGCTCGCTCGCTGCATGAAGAAATAATGCCACACAATGCCATTGTCGTCCGTCACTCGGCTACTTCTCATCACACCTGAACAATAGTAATGTCTTAATGACTAATTAGGTACCTATATTACATATACGGTTACCGAATTACCATTACGGACTCATGGAACAGTCACCGGGCTGTAATAAACATCTACATCAGACTTTACAGGAAGAGTTGATAGATTCAGGTATACACACCTACTTACATACATACCTACTTACCTACTTACATATACTAACAAGCGTGCAGTCGCATGTGAGTCATTGGCTTGATACATAATAAAACTTAGCCCGCATAAATCACAGCCTATGTCACCGGCGCTGGCATGATGTAGCTTCCCGTAGGTGAAAGAATTTTAAAAATTCGGGCCAGTAGTTTCAAAATGATCAAATAATTTCCCTTTATATTATTAGTCTATGATAATGTTAAAAATGTGTGTAAATTATCTGCAAATATTATTGTTCATTACTAAATTGTCAGAGAGAGTTTTTATCTTATCAGTACACTATTTTAGATAGGAGAGTTTTCCTTAACGTATCTACCTACACGGTAATGAATATTATGCACATAGGAATTGGATATGCGATAGAAAAAATGTATTTTATTGTAGAACACTAAACGATATTCATGGGCTTACTGCATAACACATTCGGTTCGAATATTTTTGGAAGTCAAAGTTTCCAGTGAAATGTTCAGTCGTCATGTGTTGGTCGGAGTGTGGTGTAGGGAGGGGCGCGTGTCTGCAAGTGCGTCGGCACCATTGCTAATTTTAGCAGCAATTCGGAAGGCGTGACGTGAGCACACCAGTAAAGAGCCCGGTGCGGTGCGCTCGCGTCTGGACACCGCCGCCGCCGCCATCTCACCTCACCTCGATACCGTGAAATAAGTTATCCACGAAGCCTTGTATCGAGGCGCCAGTGCCGGTTGATGAGATTTTTATTTACTTCAGGAATAAGGACATAGTGTTGTAATTTCTGTGGCTTCAATTATGGACACTGCAGGCGAGGGTGCTATCACACGTGAGTTTATTTTCATCATAGAGACGGGATAGTTAAAAGAAAAATCTAAGATGATATTGTTCTCTGTGTATTAGTAGAGGTTGATTTAATTGATTGGTGGTGGAAATTTACACTTCCGGTTTATTTATTATATATTTCCGTTATATCATAGAACCAAATTAATATCAGATAATTATTTACTGAACAAAAATATCTTGTTTATATCCATTTATTATAGTGTAAATCATCCTTTAATAGTTTGAGTACCGGCGAATTCTGTATGTCTGATTATAACGGTAGTTGCACAAACGTCCATTAAAGTTTAATGACGCCTTTAAGCTGTAATGAATGACAAATTTATATGGGGTAATGTCCCTTTAAACTAATGAAAATCTTAATGAACGTTTGTGCTAATTGTACAAAGCTGTTACAGCGAGTTGCACTAATGTCCAATTTTATTTTTGTTTCGTAAACGATAAATTCGCTGAGTCGACCGCAATATTAGCTATGAATAAACATTATGACCGCAACAATAACTTTTATGTAGCTAATAAGTTAACACAGAAGTCTGGACCGCAAACATATGAACTGTGCATTTCAAGCCAATTTTTCCTTAGGAAGGAATCTGTTATTGCTTCCCTATATATCTTTGTATATTTTTATGTATATTTTTAAAATTTGTTAAAATTGGTTTGTATATTCATTGAGCAAATTTCGATCCGTTTATAAAATGTGTCCCTCGAAAGGTTGAAGGAGTGCTCACGCCACTGCCCGTCCACCCTTGACCTAGTTCTGAGTCCCTTCCATTAAATGAGACGTAGTACCCTTTGTTAGCGTCGACAAAATTATGTTATTTGACGCTCTCCGTCATACATTTTATAAGCACGGAGAAATGCAAAAAAGCATGACTAGTGTGGATTCAATACAATTGGGAATTAGATGTGATGTAAATCCTGATGTTTCAACTATCTTACTAGGGACAGTTAAAAACTTGAGATGTGCCCCATGAGTTCCGGATATTCTGTGTATCACAGAATATTCCAGGGCTGGCGGAAAACCCCAGACACAGACGCAATAAAGGCTAGGCTTCCTATGGGGAGGCACAGTGGGAGGGATCGATAGCCCACGCGCGCCGCCCGTTGCCATCCGCCGCACATGCCTCTCGTCTTATCTACTCTACACGGTAATCTTAGAGGATCTTTCATGTGCTGTTCGTAAAAACAGCATTTGAAATTACCACAGACTCAATTCTTCGTGACATTGCGAAGCTTCGTACTATGCGATTATATACCTAAGAATTTTTTGGTAACGTTTAGTCATTAACTGAATCATTATAAAGCAATTTGTAATTATACTTCGCGCCTCGTTCTCGAGATTAGTATTTATTTGATTAGATTATATTACTAGTAGTATCGCATATGTGTCACTACTCCGGCACTATAGTTGAGATTTCTTTGCATTTGCTTTTTTTTTTTTTTTTATTATTACGAGGGTAGTTCTCATCTTCTTAGTCGATACCGTTCCCTGCCATCTTCATTCGCTTTATAGTGCCCGACTGCTCCGGTCGTATTCCCAATAACGTGTATAACAGATCGTTAAAATGCCGAAACGTACGAAAGTTAGAACATGTGAAGAAGAGTTAAAACATCCTCAAAAGAAAATGCGTAAATTAGAACAAAAAATATGTGATAAGGAAAGTTCAGTTAGTGACATGTGCCCGAATTTATTGGTACGGAATGCAATCAGAAAAGTCATTGGGGCTTATTCAACGCATTCAATAAATCAGTTAGCGTTCAATCCATTGGGGATCTACCTAACTTTGACAAGATAACTATCGTTATCTAAAACTGCTATTGAACATATCGTACCTATCAGACTATAACGTATTTACGTTAAAACAAAAAGTATGCACCTGAACTGCCGTTGGGGTTGATTCGTCGCATACTTTTATGGATGACTATGATCGTCATAGTCATAATATGAATGAAAATCTCAAACGAATTTCTTATCTTTTTGCCACCCCACCTATGGTGCCGAGTGATTGGTTATTAGAACAACCTCATTATGACGATGATCCACAATCCATGATTGGTATCAGTGACATTCAAAACTTATACTATACACTGAGGATGACTGTGTCGACGCGACGACCTTTAACGAACCACCTGTCGAGTCAAAGTTACGGCCCCAAGAAGGGGTCCATAACGAAAATGATCTGGACACCGATGTCCTTGAAATTCTCGGCGAAGATCCTTCGCACTTAGAGAAGCTCGGTATAACCACATGACTCGCTTGTCGACTAACTCATATTACCATAGAGGGGCTTAATAAGGATATCCGTAAGGAGCTGATAGCGAAGTACCCAATTGCTGCTAATTGCTCTCTTATTAGTGCTCCAAAACTTAACCCTGAAATCAAGGCTGCCATACTTGAAAATACTCTTAAGAGGGACAAAGGCATAGAGGGTAAACAAACGCCAGTGGCCAGTGCTATTGCTTGTCTTGGAGAAATAATTATTACTCATCTTAACTCTAAGGAAAAGGATAAAGAATAACTGCTTTAGCTAATGGACCGCAGTCGTTTACTGTGCGATATTCAACATAGCGATTCAGTTACTAGAAGAAACTTTATAATGTTTTCATTAAAAAAGATCGATTCATTTTTATTCGGCGAAACATAGACTGAAACTCTTATGACAGCAAAATCAATAAACAAGTCTGGAATCGAATTAAAGGCTGACCCTTCTACAAAAAATATAAGTAAACGGCAAAAAATATCTAATCAGAATCAGTTAAACGGGAAAGCTCCCGGGCCGGCGTACAGGCAACCAGGCCCATCGCAGAGGAGTCGCGAGCCTGCATTCCCGCGCAGATTACCTCCCCAAGGTAGTGGCCGCGGCCGCAACCGCTGCCGCCACCACCGCCGCCGCCCGCCACCGTCTCAAACACAGGGACGACGTCGCTACTGAATACATTCCCGAAGGATTCACGAATCGATTACCCTGGTGGCAGCAACCTTACCAGGAACGCCTTATCAAGAAGGAGCTTACCAACTTCCTCCTTGGATATAATGTTAGCCTCATTATCCCTAATTCACTCAGTCAATATGACGTATATTTAAAAAAAAAAAAAAAAAAAAATCGTGGACCTTTTGCAATAATAATTCCATTGACGTATTTACAGCTTCAGTCCCTACCGTTATTTACTTCCTTACTGTGTTGTTTAACGATGGTGGTCAATTAGGTACATTGAATTCATGCAGATCTGCCTTATCTTTTTTATTAGGATCACACATAGGTAAAGATGACAGAGTTCAGAGATTCTTGAAGGGTGTGTTTCGTCTTCAACCACCCCTTCCAAAGTATAACTTTACATGGGATACGAATTG